AGGCAGCTTCAATTTCACTGTCAGAGCAGCTCTGACAGAAGTTTGGCAGAGGGCAAAAAACAGACAGATTTTTTTTTTTTGCCAACTGCCCCAAGGCAGAGGGGCTGGTCTGGGCAGGTGATGAGAGCTTGTTTGAGACTTAATAAATTGGCAAGTCATTAACCCAGTAAGCCAGTGCAGATATGAGATAATAAGAGGATAAAGCTACTTCACTGGTTGTTCATCAATATGGGCTTTTTTTTTTTTTTTTTTGACGCCAGCTGCTGGATGGTGGGAACCCACCGTACACTGGTCAGTCCCTAGTAATAAACAAACAATGGCGCGTACTTACCATACTGGCCGTGAGAAACCAGAGTGCTGACCCAGGGGACTAGCTGAGGCTGACGGACTCTGGGCTCAGGGACAGGAGGCAGAATAGAAACAAGCTCTGGAGTAGCCAGCTGTGGGTAATCAGTGACCTCTAGAAGCGACAAGCATAGGAAGGAGCAGCCAACAGCACTTACTGCTTTTCCTGTTTTCCAGCTGCCTTTGTGCTGGAAAAAAGTAATCATCCTTCTCCAGGAGAGGAAGATGACAAGCACCAGTGCAACTTTCCGACCTCCTTCCATGTAGTGGAGTTAAACAAGCTCTGGGACCAGGGATCGAAACCAAGAGCTGCCTGTTCCCAAAAGGATGGCTTCGCAAGTGTGCAGCTCTGTGCATCTGCAGAGGAGTGAAAGATAAGCCAAGGGCACGGCCCCTGCACCTGCGCTCCAGTCTGAAAACTGAAATGGCCTAAACAGGAGGGTTGCTTAAGAATACCCTAGAGCTTTGTGGTGAGGGCTCTCTCCTGCCACCTGGGTGTAAATCTCCACAGGCAGAAAGAACAGGACTTGGGCCTCCCACAGACCCTTTCTCTCGTGCCCGCTTCTCCCCACCTCACACAACCAGCAGCACCTCCTGGACGCCAGCCCGGTGTCAAGCTCATCAGTAGGGCCCTGCAACACGTAACTCCAGCTTTCCTTGGCTTTCAGGTGACAGTCTAAAAGCGGGTGTGTACTTTTGCCCCTAGCCAGAAGGATGGCCAAGGCCACTGGACAGGACATAGCCTCTCACGCTTAGCAGCAGCATTTTGCTCCATGCTGTCTCTAAGAACAATTTAAAGTTAAACAGGGCAGAACATGTGGCAACTTGATGCCATGTTCCGCAGCCTCTGGGTCAGGTTTAGTGTGTCCTCCCGCAGCTTGAGCAGAACGTGAAAATCCCAGACACAGGGTATGAAGTGTACGTAGCAGGCAAGCAGAAAAGAGACTTTTCTATCACTCCAGGCAGGTCTGTCCTTTAAGTACTGACACAGCCAGAAACTCTTGATATCTGCCAGTGTTTCTATTAGTGCATAATGTGCTCACATTAGTTCCTCCTCTCATAAGCTTTTTACTAATGTTTGCGCCTGTTCTTCCTTGTCTCCTGCTCCTTTTTGTCCTAATAAGCTCCTAGTCCTCTTCCCTGGAGCATCACTCAACACCCCCCCCCCACGCCCCACATCCCCCCAGCTTCATTAAAAGTTATCGTTATCCTAGTGTCCTGCTATCTCCTCTATAGCCCACATAGTGATTTGTTCCCAAAGCCTTTTAGGAGTAAAGAAACCCTTCCTTCGTAGTTCACACAATGCAAAACACAACCATTTCAGAGCAACAGAAAAAGTGTGCAAGCTGTCACGTAACCTCCCGTGTCTTCATCCAGCACTGTGGTCCTCAGGCTTTTCAAAGCCACCCTTCCCCTTTTTGAAAGTTTCGTTTCCCCTTCTCGTCTTCCCAGTTTCTACCCGACAAAAGCACTATTCACTCTCTAACTTATCTCAAGCCCCCAGAGCTCAAACATCAGGGTTTTTTTTTTTTTGCAGTATGAAACAGTTTGTACTACCTTTTTCTTCTACCAACATTTACATTTTAATTTTCAGTAAAACTGAACCCCAAACTCTACCTGTGTTGGCTCAAAGGATATACTACACTCACCCTGGAGCTGAAGAGGATGGACAACTTTTGGGTGGGATAGTCAGAGACCAGCACATTCAAACACAATGGCAGGGGAACAGTTTTTTCTGTGGCTCCTACCTCTTGTCCTCCAGTTACAGGATGTATGCTGACACTCCCCAGAGAGAAAGTCACTGCTCTAGTAGAGGAAGGAAAAAAATGAGCAAGACAACAATCTGATTCTCAAAGCCGTTACATCATCCAAATAGCGAACATAGTTTATTTCTAAAACAGCTGGAATCCCATATTTGACAAAGTTGCAGACAGATGGAGCTTTCAGAACCAGGTTGATACTGAAGGAAAGTTGAAACAGGTGCCAAAGTGCTTTAAAAAGGTGCCAAAGTCCCTGCCAGACAGAGCTGTCATTCAAAGACCCCCAGTAGAGCTGGCGATACCAGTAAAACCTGTGCTTTTCTTGGTAGACATGTTTCACAAGGAGGATCTGTGGGAAGCGAGGAAGCTTTGGCAGCAGAGATGTCAGTTTTCCAGCCTGAAAGCATCCTGCATTAAGAGCATCTGATGGGTCTATGGACCCAGCACTGCCATAACAGCAAAAGCTGCAGGCATACCTTAGACCTCTCGATAGGCACAAAAACCAAAAGGGAACTTGTAATTCACTTCTCTTGATCCAGTATAAACAAGTGCACTTGTAGCAAAACATATTCTTTGGGCGATCACAGAGCATAGTTCAGAAATTCTTTGGTCGTCAGACTGCATGAAATTCCCCCTAATTTTTTTTTCCCCACATGGTGACAAGTGACAGAGTGATGTGGGAGGCTGAAAAAAAGATGCTAGTGTAGTGCCAGGAGAGGGGGCACAATTCCAGCAGAGTGTGGAAACAGCCTTTTCTTCAGAGCAAGCTCAGGCTCCAGCCCCAATCCTTAGCAGGTGCTTCTCCCCACTGCCACCGCAGTGCTGAGGTCTCAGCTGCATTCACGCGTGTGCAGCAGAACACTGGTTTCCCACAGGATTGCCAAGAGGGGTTAACGCTTGTAGGAAGGTGCCTACTATCTATCTGAGGTGATATCTCAGGAGGTGAAGGAGAAACAGAGCACTTCTCTTTCCTCTGGGGGAACAGAAGAGGTTGTATCCTTAAATATCTACCATGTCAGTCCAAATTAAACTCAGAGTGCTAGTTTCCAAAAGCTTTAGTTAAGTCAGTATTGGCAGGAGAACTGGTGATCAAGCACCCCTGTTGCAAAAAAATACGTGTGTGTGTGTGTGTATACACGTGTGTGTATACCACCTTCTGCAGGTATTTTCACTCAGAGTGCCCAGAATGAAGTCATAGAATCATAGAATAGTTTGGGTTGGAAGGGACCTTTAAAGGTCATCTAGTCCAACCCCCCTGCAATGAGCAGGGACATCTTCAACACGATCAGGTTGCTCAGAGCCCCGTCCAACCTGACCTTGAATGTTTCCAGGGATGGGGCATCCACCACCTCTCTGGGCAACCTGTGCCAGTGTTTCACCACCCTCAGCATAAAATATTTCTTCCTTCTATCTCGTCTAAATCTACCCCCCTTTAGTTTAAAGCCATTCCCCCTTGTCCTGTCGCAACAGGCCCTGCTAAAACCGAAGCCTTCTCTGCTCTAGGCTGAACAACCCCAACGAACAAGTCCCTTGTCAAACAGGACTGTCCTTTGGACCAGTCCTGTGCTGGCAGGGCAAAGAATCCTGAACCATCACTGATTCTGCTGACAGTGGATTTCTAGCTGAGAAAGATGTCTATTCTTTTACACCAGAGAGCCTTCGAGGCATGCTCAATTCAGGTCATTAAAAAGAAAAAAGTGACCCATTTCTGACCAAACAAAATATGTCATCTGAAGGTATTGGGCAGAAAAGCAGGCCAAAGTTGGATGTTGTAAAGAAATAAAAGACAGTCAATATGAAATTAGTAACATTATAACTGCCTCTTATATAGTTTTAGTTGAATAATCCTCTATGTTAGTGTCAAAGCAGTTTATCTTTGAGTGAATATATGTATCTTCATCCACAAACAGCAGACTTTTGCGCTTTCAAACTGTTTCCTGCTCTATGTTGCTGTAAATAGGGCACTTATGAAAAGGAACAGCAAGAAGAATCACAGAAACTGCACCACGAGGAGGGGGATTTCTACCTTTCCAGGTTATCTGCTCAGTTATTTTCATTTACTTACTCAAAATTTTTGACACTTTAGCAGTTGGCCAATTTCTCTTTGTCAAAGAGTAAAACAAACAAACAAACAAATTCAAAGTAAAGATACATATATTAGGATGAGACAAAAAAATAAGGTGGCAACAAATGGCAATGTATGATGACCTGCACAAAAAGAATTTTATGAGAGGACCATTAAATTACTCAGCAGTACTGGCGCAGAATTTCAGACAAATAGAAAAATGCATAGCAGGCCAGAAAATGCTTCTTTCCTCCCAATTGGACCTGGTAAACTGTATAAATCCTACATTTTGCAGAAACCTGCTGCACCATCATGCAGTTGTCCTGACAGAAGAGACCGACTTATAAGTACAAGTTCTACTTCACATCTCGACATGAAAGGGAAAGCACCAAGGAAGACGGGCCTGTGCTTCCCTTTTTCCTGCAAAGAATTTCCAGCTCACCAGAGACGGACTGCAAAAGGAGAGAAAGGCAAAGGTGCCGAGACGACATTGTCTCAGCCTCGAAGTTACACAGAACTTCATGACAATACCAGCTTGGACAAAACTGAACTGTTCTGCCTGTCCAGGCTCCGGGCAGAGTCTCCAAAAGCATGGATCCCAGCAGAGGCAGAGGAAGGGACAAACCGCACGTGAGAGAGAGAAAGAAGCACATTGCTCCATTCACAATGAGCTTTCCATGAACACTGTTGGACTCCAAAGAGAATAATTTATAGAAAATGCACAGAAATTGTCTACAGAACGGGTCTTACTCATTTGCAAAATGGGTATTTGTATTTGTGAAAAGGAAAAAAAAAAAAGATCCCACAAAACATCAAACACATTCTTGGGTATGTATTTTCCTGTATTTGGCAGAGGGAAGTTTTAAAGAATAATCTTTGATTGTTAATAACCTGTAAAAATTCATGGAGAAAAAACCTGATTTCATCATGTACAGTTGGGGCTAGGAGGGAGTGTTTGCAGTGACGTATTCAAGTTGCGGTTCATAATTTTTGATGCTGGCTGAGCTGATGTTAGAAAAAGTCCACAGTTCTGATAGAAAGAGGTAACAAAGACTTGGGTCAGCTTATCCAGGCATAAATCAGTTTGTAACAGTTCCTTCGTTAAACAAATCATCCTTTGACATTAAGAATCAGGTAGGACTTTGCAGGATTTCCCTTCTGTAAACAGATGGAGGAAATCAGAAGCAATTTTTCCATCCTTCTGAAAGGAGAACCAAATGACTCTCCAAATGAGTTTTAAATGCACTTATTGCAAGTAGCTGGAAATGACCGCAGCCCAGCTTGTGAGGCAGAAGTTGTCTTTCTCTGTAAAGCTCATAAAAAGCAGGTTCTCCATTATAAACTTCTTTGAGGGGGGAAGCGAGGGGAGCAAAAAAACTTTGGTTCACAACATTGTTTTGCATAGGCATTCAAGTAGATCCTCAAAAGCTACCGGCTGTCCAGGCTAGTAACAAAATACCCATGCTCTCTCCTCAGTAGCGGACGATCCTCTTTGGTATCCTATTTTGTAAGGCAGACGTCTTGCAGAGATGGAGGAGTCATACAGATGCATCTTTGAAAAGGAAGACAGCATCACTTGCATTGCACAAACAAATTCATCTACTTGATTAAGGAACACACAGGAAACCTTCTTTTGGTAGGGGGTGGGGGAGGGAGAAGAGAAAGCACTGATACATTCACTACTTGCTAGAAGCAAGTTATTTTGCTCTTGTACTTAGTTGTTAACAGCTGTCAGTAGCTGTGATACATCTGTGTTGACAGAAAATATGGAATTATTGCTTTGTGAGCAATTCTGAGTAACAAGGAACAGGACGTTAATAAATCCTTCCAGGCAGACACAGCCCTGTGGCAGAAAATATAAATATTCATTTTGGGAACCATTCTGGCAGTTACTAAGCATGATACTTACTTGTTGACTGCGTGATGCACGAAACCTTGTAGGATGACCATATGCTTAAAACACAAAGGATCGTAGCTAGGAACCCGAAAGTCTGGATGAGAAAACAAACAAACCACAGATACTTACAGAACATTAGATGACACATATTCCATGAATGTACAGACACTCTTGTATATCCAGCTACATATTTTATGATGTTAACAGACCCAAAAAAGTGATTTCTTACTTCATTCTCCCAATATACTAAAAAAATAAAAGTTTCCGTAGTATAATAGCAGCTTATGTTTTGTCAAAACAATGACTGAAAGATAGACTGAAAGTCATATACAAGGGGGGAGAAGAAGCTGGACAGCAGCATAGAGTCTCGCCTTCTAGACTTCTCACTAGGATTCTGCAACAAAGAAAAAACTTTTTCTAACAGCTCTGATTACTGTTCTTTTACTGCCCCATTCGAACAAGTCTTTCCCTGCCACCTGCCGAATAAGCAAGTCAGGTAAGTCTTCTAGTCTGTTTGCATCATCAGGACTAAGTTTCTGAAAGTAATTCTTTACTCTCGAGGAGCTGTATTTCAGGTCCTGCTGCTGTGAAAATACTGTTGCCCACACTCAGAAGGAATGCCTCTCTCTGTAAAGCCCTCCAGCCAGCAGAGGCAGAGAGTATCTTCCAGTAAGTCAGCCCAGGACCCCAGTGGGTTTTAGCTCAGGAGAAACTATCTTGAACAGGTTTCTGTTCAGGAGCAGGAGGCATTAAAAGCCAAAGACTGGAGTGAAATCCTTTAGGTAACTTCTAGCTGCTACAACAGCCATTTGTCAAAACTGAATTGCCTTGATTCTTCCCCCAAACTCATTAGTTCCTATGAGCTAAAGCAGGAACCTTTGGTTTCAACTCTCTGACAGGACAAATATCCACTTTAGTGGCGAGTCTGGAGTCTCACAACAAAATATTTTTGTTGGCATTGTGTTACAGAACATTCACTGAAATGAGCTAGAAGGTAGTTCAGCCAACCAAGACACAAGCAAGGCAAGTCTGTAAGAAAATACAATTACAAGTAATAGATTTCCAATGCCCTACTTAATATATATTGCAATTAAAAAAAGTGTCAAGACTGATAAACAGAGTCTTACCGCTCCAGCCACAAGTCCAGTCAAATTGTAACTCTTGGATGCTGCTACAATCGATGCAATGAGAAGCAGAATTGTACCAATTAAATAATGAAGAAACTCCTGTAAAGACAAGCACAGCCTGCATCAGAAGGGAAACTTATCAGGAAAGCATTTCAGTATGCCTCAGAATGAAAACAATTTGGCAGAGGTTACTCAAACCCAGAGGACAAAACACCAGTCAACAGAAAAAAAAAAGCAGCTAAAAAAAGAGAGAAAAAAAAAAACCACCCTGTGAGTGGATTTTGTACCATACCTGATTTTCTGTTCAAAAAAGGAGAGAGGGCCAATCTTCAGGTCTACTAATGTCACTGGAATAAGATCTACTTTACTGGGCATGGATGCAATCCTTTCAATTCAACATGGTATATTACTGAGGGTGAAACACGTATCTTTATGGCATCAAGTATGCACCTTACTGAAAGAGACAGTTCTGGAGGAAGGAAGAAGCCTTAAGGACATATTTCTCTAGCCTATATGACATGGCAATAAATGGCAGCAAATGGCATAAGTAGAAAACCAAATGGTCCTACTTCTGATAATCTTAGAAAGTAAGCAGTGGATCTGCTGGACTTACTAACAACTTACATCAACCAAGACTGGAAACAGGAGAGAAGCCACGAAAAGCACAACTATGCAGACACTCATAACCAACACCACATTAAATGCCGCTTTGCAAAACTGTCATTTATTAGCTTATTTCAATCCTTTATTTCAATCCCTGCATCTGTATTATCTCTAGGTAAAGAAGTACTTTCTAGAGACAGTTAGTGGTGGTATGCGTTTGAAAAAATAAAAAGGGGCGCAAGTCTAACCATATTCTTCAGCTAAAAAGAAAACTAAAATTTTCTCTCTGGTTAGAAGTGGATGGATGGACAAACCATTATCTTAGATCTGTAAACTACTTACATAGCTTCCATTAAACGCCATCCAAATACTTCTCGGATTTCAAAATCCCTCTATATCTCTCCAGTTGGCTTTTCCCCATCCCTTTGGTCCTTCCTCTGTGGAACTAACATGTCACCATGCATAAGGGAGACATGTTCTAAGAGGTTATTAAAATCCGTCACCCCACACTAGGACACAGGACCCTTCTGTTAGCTGACCTGACCCAAAGCTACTGAGGAAGTTCAGGTCTTGCATTTTCTGTGCTGCTCGTTAGTTCTCTATGAGAGATGGATGTGCAAGGGAAATGTGGGAATGAGGCAGGAACATCCTGCAGGATATCCCAGGAATGGCCAGGCTATGGCAGTCAGGCTGAGGCTCCTTTCTTGCTATTGTTTAAGTTACCTAACACCATTCCAAAAAGAGACACATTTGACTTAAATAGCACTAGTAGACTTTATTTTGGGACAGGATGTACTACATGAATTCTACTGCTATGATTTGGCACTCTAGCAATCCCTTAGCTGCTATAAATGACCTGAGCTAGGACCCATCTGCTGAAGCTTGATAATCAGTAGCTTCTTTTCAATTGTCTCAGAATAACACTATTGCCTTCCCTGGAGTAAATCTGGATTTATATCTGTGTAAACGAGGGCAGGATCAGATCCAAATCAGCTAAAAAAACCTTACAATTACAGCATCTGCTGAACTGAATACTAATAACAAAAGCAACAAAAGGATTTGCATACAAGGCAAAAAAGAAGTACGTGGAAGACAGCCTATCATTGTGTGATAGCACAAGAAAATGAAATAAGTAATCAAGACATCAACCCACAAGAGAGGCAAGCAACCCAGACTTACCGCAAGTGGCCAGCTAACACAAGTGAGAATCCTGTAGACTCTGAAAATGTGGATAATGTAGAAGAACAAAATCATAACCAAGTCGCACATGGTGACAATCTGAAAGTAGCTGTACGCACTGTAATCCGTCCACGGAGAATTATTTACACTGATGAACGCAACCAGCAGTGAGATCTGAAAGACAAAAGGCACATTAAAAATTTTTACAATGGTACTCAGAGGGCCGTGGAGATGATTTTAAACACAAGAAAATGGCACTTAGAAACAGAAGACAAATATCTAATGTAAATTGGATGGTCCCAACAAAACGGAGGACAAAGTAACGATCATGGTAATAATGTTTTAAAATTTACTGTTAAATGAGTTAAAACAAACATTAAAAGTGGGGAAAGAGCCAACTGCTCAAAGGAAAGCAGCAGTTTCAGCCTGAAGAACCCAACCTGAAGAAGTCTCTATGTATAATACAAGAGGTCTCAAATATAGAAGAGGCATTGAATGCCTGGAATTCACAGGATCATAGAATAGTTTGGGTTGGAATGGGACCTTGTAAGGTCATCTAGTCCAACCCCCCTGCCATGGGCAGGGACATCTTCCACTAGATCAGGTTGCTCAGAGCCCCATTCAGCCTGACCTTGAATGTTTCCAGGGATGGGGCATCCACCACCTCTCTGGGCAACCTGTGCCAGTGTTTCACCACCCTCAGCGTAAAATATTTCTTCCTTCTATCTAGTCTAAATCTACCCCCCTTCAGTTTAAAGCCATTCCCCCTTGTCCTGTTGCAACAGGCCCTGCTAAAAAGTTTGTCCCCATCTTTTTTATAAGCCCCCTTTAAGTACTGAGAGGCTGCAAGAAGGTCTCCCTGAAGCCTTCTCCTCTCCAGGCTGAACAACCCCAACTCTCTCAGCCTTTCTTCATAGGAGAGGGGTTCCATCCCCCTGCTCATTTCTGTGGCCCTCTTCTGGACCCGCTCCAACAGGTTGATGTCTTTCTTATGCTGAGGGCTCCAGAGCTGGACGCAGTACTCCAGGTGGGGTCTCACCAGAGCAGAGTAGAGGGGCAGAATCACCTCCCTCGACCTGCTGGCCACGCTGCTTTTGATGCAGCCCAGGATACGATTGGCCTTCTGGGCTGTGAGCGCACGTTGCTGGCTCATGTCCAGCTTTTCATCCACCAGTACCCCCAAGTCCTTCTCGGCAGGGCTGCTCTCAATCCCTTCATCCCCCAGCCTGGATTGATACCGGGGGTTGCCCCGACCCACGTGCAGGACCCTGCACTTGGCCTTGTTGAAACTCACGAGGTTCACACAGGCCCACTTCTTGAGTTTGTCCAGGTCCCTCTGGATGGCATCCCGTCCTTCACGCATCTAAACCCTACGGACTTTCAGAACTGAAAGCTGTGAAAATTAAGATGCCCATGAACACATGTGCCTTTACTTACATTTAGTGAGAGTTCTCACATGCAAAATCGGAGGACCTGGCTGCAACTGAGCTAACGGTTTTACCCTTTTCTACCACCTACAGAGAAGGAGTATTAGCAGACTATAAGGTAGTATCATAGCTAATAATATAAACATTTGGAGGAACTGATTAATTCACCCAACCCCCAATACAATAGTTATAAAACTTTAATATGTTAACATTGTCACATAATAGTTATAAATATTGTCAATACAATAGTTATAAAACTTTAATATGTTAACATTGTCACATAAAACTATAAAGCATTATCATACAACTTCTTTCAGTTGTAGGCTTGCAAAGGACAAAAGCTATTTTATTTTTTTAATCTAAAGCTACTTGTTTATTTTACTAATCTTGCTGCTTCTACTAGCCTGGCTAGCCTGGGTGATAAAAATAAATCTACCGAGGATACACCTGAATATTTTCTTATTACAGACTTTGTCAATGCATGCTTTCAGCCACTGTGATTTTTAGTTCATCCAAAGTCAGCCAGGAGCAGTAATGATTCATATTTTAATCGTTTCTCCAAGACATTAAAAAAACTATCTGAAAAAGCCAGCACTTCAAGACTGCACCACCCTTTCCTGCACACTCATCTTCCAAACTCCTAACCAATTGCATCCATTATCAGAATAATTTCCTTAAGATTAAAAGGAAAAAAAAACCACCACCCAAACAACATAGCTTAGATTCTTCCTGCTGTAGTTTTAACTGAGTTTCACCTGCTCAGTTCTAAGCTGACAGGCGAAACATACACATCCTCAAGTGCAACCAAAAGCTCTACACACACATAAGAACTTCACAAGAAGTTCACAAGAACTTGCACCTTGGCCAAACTCCATCCAAACAGGCACATCGATGTCGTGACAGTGAACCACCTCAAAAAAGTGGCTCCAAAGAGAAAAGTCAGTGCTCCGGGATCCTTTCCCACACAAGTGGCTAAGCTATTGTTAGATCTGGTCCGGCTCCATTATTTTTACTGTGGTAGTCCAAGTAGTTGATATTAGCATTGTAAGTGATGCTCAGTCCAAGCCAGTGACAGGCTTCTGCACTAGAGTAAGCCTACATCTCCTCCCACCTTTGAAATAGATACAGGGTAGGGAAGACAGGACTTTGAGGTGCAGGGCTTGATCACACTCAATGCTTCTCAAGAATGGACGTTACATATGCCTTTGAAAATGCATGGTATCGCTCAGTCCCTGTCTCCCCAAATATGTTCCTGTCCTCTGGTTTGGGAGTGTAACATCATAGCAGCATCCTGCATGTTTAGTGCTTCTGTCTGTACCATGTCTGTTCTCTGGGTCTTACAGCCTAGCCACTGGGGAATCCTAAATGCACAAAGTCTTGCATCTTGTGCATGGCAGAGCTTTTTGAGATGCTACATTTCTTAGAAGACAACAAAGCAATGCTCTCCGCAATTCAGCATTTAAAGAATTCTGGCACAGTTCTTCAATTCTGAGATAATTTCAATGAAGTTTTGTCCAACCTATGTCTACATACACCAGGCCTACATTAAGCTGTGGTTTCATGAGGGTCATGGCCTTTGTCATCTTCTCCTTCTCACCCTGATTTCATTCCCTGTCGTGTACTGACTCCTCCACTCATCTGTGCTGAGCCACCTCAGTGTACTAAGCCAGCAGAAAAGTAAACTACTAAAAAATGCAAATAGCTTTACTCTGACTCTGCCATCACGCAAGGCAGGGTCAGGTGAGCAAGGGAGTGTGAGGGAGATGCTAGGACTCCAAGGGAAAGGATAGGAAGGACTGAGCAGGCAGGGTGGCAGCAGCTAGTAACCACGCTGGCTCAGGCTGCCGCAGAACATCTCTCTCGGTTCCTTGAATCTTAATGTCAGTTAAGCAAAGAGTAGTCTGACTTAGCTGTTGAGTAACTTCAACAATCAGAAGGAGATCAGCAGGTCATTTACCCTATAATCTAGAATGCTTGAAGCGATGCAAGACACAGCTATTATTTTCATGAGAAAATGAAAATGAAATTTAATGAAATTTCATTCTATAGGGAGACTCGACAAGAAGTCATGGCAAGTGTTGAATCTTGCTCTTGGATAAAGGTGGGATGAGGACAACGCTTCTCTAACCACCACAGGCTAAAAGAGGTTCCTTTATTCAGGTGCCTTCACAATAATGAGTTCTCAGTTTCAATTACACTGTAGAAATCAAGAAGGAAGCACTAATTCACAGAAGTATTAAATCTGCCTTTTGGCTCATTTCATGCTTGAACCATTAACTTTATCAACTTTTTTAGTGTGTTCAAAGGATAAGGACTGGATCCCTGAAGTACAACCACCATCCAAATAATAAGACGCACTGGTAAAAAAACCCAAAAAACTTAGTTTAAACCAGACCTAGTTCTTTCAACTTCATGGAAGCATGAAAGAGTTTTTTTTTCAGTTAGAAGGTATAAAAATTTGAGAAGAAGCATAAAGAAGAATGTGAGCCATCCAAGGACAAGATCAGGAAATTCATCTGAGGTGTTAAATTCCTCAGAAATAAGAAGATACAAGGTACCAACCAGTCAGTGAAGAATCTGCTCAGCTCCTAAGAACAGGGTAGAAATGTGGATTTGAACAAACATGCTTTCCATTTCAAGTGTACTTCACAATTAGAACAATTCCAAAAACAGTTAGTAAAGATTCTCCCTTCTTTGATTTTAGATGTGCCTCAGCATATAGGTAGGAAGAAATCACTGTGCGGTGAGAGGTATTTCTTTCAAAGATTTCCTTTGTCAGCATAAATTTCACAACATGATATTTACATTCAGTTTCTAAAGCGGGTTCTCTGATCGGAGGCACGTAATGCTATTTCACAGGACAGATGCAAAGGGGACGATATCAACAACTTTATATAAAGCTACACCATTTTTGCCACACTATATTGCCTGCATGGCTAGCAGGTACAGTCAGAGTTCAAAACTCACCTGCTGAAAAAGAATGCCAACAAATGTAGGAAATAGAGCCACATAATATTATTTTTCCTTTAAAAGTGACAAATACCAAAGTTCCTTCACGAGATATCAGTTTATCATGATATACTGGGTGATGATTGTATCTTTTCCTCCCCCTGTAATTCCTGTTTCCAGAGAACTTGAAATTGAGCAATAAAATGATTAATACATAACTGTCCTGGATACAGTTCAACATATATCTTAGAAGTCAGCTCATGGCACACAGAGAGAGAAATGAATGGCAAAGCAATAAAATGATCAAATGTTACGAGTGTTCTTTATGCATCTGTGCTCAGGGGAGTAGGTTAATACATCTTGAAAATAAAAACTAGAGGCACAAAAAAATTAGAGCATTGTCATTTCCATTTCAATATAGTATTTCACATATTGTGAGAGTAGCAGACATGTAACTCATAGCCAGCAAGCCAGTCAGATCAAATACAGGTCAAGCAATGGTCAGTCTCATTAGAAGATTCTAATATGCTCCACAAAATATATCCAGGCTTCAGACCTGCATTACAAAAGGGGTGGGGAACACATTGCACACTACTATTTAAGTGCTTTCTGGTTTCTGAAAAGCAAAACAAAGAACATCGGCATCAATCAACTCCAAGGAGAGATTTTTTGATTTAAATAAAGTTCCGTATTTACTCTGTTTCACAGAAGTTGATAGGCTTAAACTAATCCACTTCTTGACTTTCCATTGGACCAGATACTTGAAGTGAGTCATAAAGTGTGTTTAGGAACACTGGT